GTTAAAATGCAAAGCAGTCCTGGACGGCGATGTATCATCGGGCGCGTATCGCGTTATGGGGTATTTGTATCGGAACGAGGGGTACAGGGGTAGTCTTTGTTGCTTTACGATCGGGCGAATTCGCACCGGCGTTCATCGATTCCACCCGCCTTTAATTACCGTTGCCACCTTACTTGGCAAACGTCCCCGCGGAGAATCACTCGCCGCGATATTTCTCGCAATTTTAGCACGAGTATCGATTAACGATAAGAGACGAAATCAGTGTCCGCGTTCTCACACTACCCCGTGTACTCGGGCCTCCGCCGCGGCATCGTCGAGTATTTTCCACCATGAATTTGTTATGACCATCGCAATAGAACGGATCGATAAGACACATTCTGTCTGTGCGCGCCTCTGATGTGTCTTTTACCGTCGCCCGAGGCGGTGGAATAAATTTGAATCGCGTACATACGAAAGGGTCGTTCGCTGATCCGACACGACCCGAAAAATCAGATTCTCCTTTGTTTCCGCTTGCTCCTCTTGACCGTGTGTCATAATAACGTTTCCGTCCACCGTGTGTAACCGGGTTCCTCCTGGCTTGCCTCCTGTTCTACCTTCTCCTCTGCTTCCTGGCCCACCACCTGGCCATCCTCGGATCAGTTCACGGACGAGAGAGCCCGAGTCGCGCGGAAAGAGGAAGGTTGGCGCAGATTTAATGTTTTAATTAGTGGAGAATTACGATTGCACCGGCGCGATGAGGGCTTACGATAACTATAAATATGGCGGCAGTTTCGCACAGCTTAACGCCTTGACGACGATACATCAGGCTAGTTATTAGGCGTTCGCGCGCGCACGAGGTACGCATTAGCGGGGCTTACAGCGAACTGGTATCAAGAAAGTTTACAAGCACAGGTGCGCGACACCGCTCAATTTCATGCTCGAATATACTCGAATCCTGTTTGCGTATCCATATGACAAATAAAGTTCGGCATCGCGTGCCAGTTTTCGTTGCACTTGCTGATCCGTGACGCGAAGCATTCTCGGTTGCGGAAGCGGAGGAGCAGCTTGGTACCCCGGTTGGGCCCTGGCTGATGGCGAGTCCCGGAAATGGGACGTTCCGAGTGGGAATCAGAGAGCAGAAAGAATCATCACGGAAAACGCTCGACTTTTCGAAGCAACAGTTCGACGTTTAATCTAGCGAGAGCCGAGCGAAAAACGCGGGATCCGCCGAGTGACGATCAAAGGGGACATTACGACGTGCACTAAAGCGCAACTAGAATAGAAGGGGACGGCAAACCGCGGCTGCGACATTTCCGGCTCGTTTCGCAGGTCGTAAAGAGAGGTAAAAGCGTAGGCATTATATGGATCGAGCTTCGAAGGCGACCAAAAAGCCGGTGATAATGGCGTAGAGAGCATAGTGGCGACTCAAAGACCGGGCTGGCCGGAAAAAAGAGGGAAAAATGGGGAGAAAAGGGGGGCAAAAAGGAGAATGGGGTAGAAGAAGAGTCTGGCGAGCGGCGACACGATGTGTGAACCGGTGGTGTGCGGTGCACGGAGTTGCTTTCGTAGCATAAGCGTGCTCGTTCGGACTTGCTAGCAGCGCATACGAAGTATTGTTTGGAAAGCAGCTCATCGCCAAGAGTCTCTCGTTAAATCTCCAAGAACTTTGTTCGCCAGGCTCGCTCGAGATCGATACGACTCCTAGTTCAGCTACATATGTAGCTACATGACAAAAGTTCTGAACTTTTGACCCGGCGACGACCATTGTACCACCGACAGACCTTCTATTCCGCGGCATTCCCCTATTTTCTCCTATTCCATGCTGCGCTTTGCGCGTGCAGGACCAGCACGCGGCTGGACGGGGGTGGCATTACCGTTTTGCAGGCACCCCCGCGTATATAATGCATGGCTGTTTTGAAAAGGTAATGCAATTCATAACGTGGCGTAGCGATGCGTTCCGTTCCTGTTTCCCCGTCCCATGGAATCGCGCCGGCGAAAATAATAATGCTTACGAACGTTAATAATCATAAAAATGCTAATGTTAATGACGCCGGGTGCAGGGGCGCCGGCGGTGGCCGCGATATTAATGGCCGACGACGCCCGTGCATGGGAAACAATAATAAGAATAATGAAAACGGCCACGACAGCAATGAGCACGGGATAATAGAAGGGGGAGCGTGAGGGGGGTTGAAACGGACAGTATTGCAGTTGTAAATGCCGTCGAGTTTGAACGTATGAGATAGTTTAACGAGATCACTCGGATTTTACGGCTGGAAAGTGAAACGCTCCGGATGCGGCCACTTTTTTCTATTTATTTCCAGACCTACGCATAAGCTACGGGTAAAATTAGAGATCGTTAGCAGAGAAAGTCCAATCGCGACTCCAACCATGGGTGACGTTAATTTATCCAGGTAGTTATCCGTTATTCTCTAATTAATTTTTAATTAAGCGCGGAATTCGACGCTAAGGGATGCAGTGGCGCGTATTGAGACACCGGGAAGGAACTTTCGCGTTTCCGATGTAATTTATAATTCGAAAATTAAGAAATACGGAACGTATGTTCGCGTATCTTCACGCGTTTTACTTATTTTAGCGCGTTGGTTCACCCCCCCGAGGGAATAACTTGTATGCATATGCATGCGAATATATGAACATACATATACGCGTTTCTTTTCGTTCTTAACCTCGCCGCGATACGTTACATGTCATCGAATTAAACCCCTTGAGCGTTTATGTCGTATGCATATGTATACGTGATATTCGTCAATTCGCAATTCCAATTGCGTATATATACGGTTTAGCAAATTTCTGTGTTTAATATATTCGTCGAATCGCGATAGTATATTGAGTTAGGTTATGTATACTTCCTATCCATTTTCATAGCGAATTCTTCGGGAAATTATTCTAGTAGTTGTATATTTATAGAGCTTCGCAAAATCGGTGTCACCGTGCTCGAGATTAACTCAAGTATGGTGTTTACGGAGATTTATAGGGATTTTTATAGACCCTTTTATAGACACTTTTCTATAGATTTTTTTAAAATCAAAGTCATCTTGAAATCATGGTATAGCAGATCGGGATTTCGACCGGGGTTCGCGTGCAAAGCCATCAGGTTAAAAATACATAGTTCCATTTAAAAACACCGGGGTGACCACAATTTTCGTCGAAAATAAATACCTCTTGTTATTTTTGCAACTACGATTTTTTGACTGGTTAAATCTAGATTAATTTCCACGGGAAATATTGATTCGTGAGATTATCGGGAACCGCGGAAAAATCGTAGAAACCGTCTCGCGACGCTGGCTATGTATACGTATACATAATTTCGTTTATACGCGCGTATAAAATATTTCGCGACCGCCACAAATTTCCTAGCAGATCGGTCATTTCTCTTTTAGCGCGCCGTTACTCGATTCGTATATCGTATTGCGTCGAACAAATAAAAACGTCAGCAATTTTGATTAAACAAACGACTAACCCAAGAAGAACAGAGCGCGGTACGATGGTCAGGTGTATTTTGGCTTTATTTCATTCCGCGGCAAAAGCGATTTTTATTTTAGCAAACGGAACGCTGGACAGTTTGGTCTAAAATAAATATTTCTCCAGCGAAAGAGATGCGCATTGTTTTTCAAATCGGAACAATAGAATCGAAAATCTTTTTTCCTAAACATCGTTTGTCGACGGGAATAAATCCCGGGGCCAGACGCGAAAATGGATTGTTTACGGCACTGCCGCTCCGTTCCCTTGTCACATGACGGATTCCAAGAGGTCGCGTGCTTCCTTTTCCCCCGGCATCGCAAATGAGAAAGCTCGGAAAAGCATTTCTCTCTCAAAGATACTTTCTCCGCGATACGGACCCTTGATGCTGAAATACTAGAAAGCAAGAGGGAAAGATCTCTAAAGAAGAGCAATTCCGCGATGTCTAGGATCGAGGGATTGCCTTACCTTACAGTGGGCATCGCGAAGGAAAGAGAGAGACGGCGACACGAGGCTCGAACTACAAGAGCGAACTCTTTCGATGAGATACGTAATTTTATCGATCTTGTCGTTAGTTCGTTCCCGCGAGCTACACGCACGGCGGAGCGCTGTGAAATTCCGCGATTCGAAATGTTCAGACCGAATGGTAAAAAGTGCTCGGTAAAAGGATGTGTTCTTCGGTGGAAGAAAAAAAAAATTATTCTATTGATCCGCATATTCCGGCGGCGCTCTGTTCCACCGACGGATAAATCTAGCATTTAGCCTCGCGTACACCAGCGTATCTACAGGTGGAGGCGCCTGCGCGTCGCCCCCAGTTGTTCGTAGATGTCACTCACACCTGCGTGATTACGGATATGCAGCTGTGTCTCTACGTATTCATCACACGCGTGCTGCACTCGCAGCCAGGACCGTGGGATTCTTCTATGTCGATTCATTTTGGACCGTGGTATCTTTCCTTTTTCCACTTCTCACTAGCCTGTATCTCTGTACTTTTCACCGTTTCCCTGGTCTCTACCGCGTTTTTCAAGCTCGTGGCCCGATTTACGTACCTTTCGGTAACGCGGGCTGCTAATAGGACTGGATGCATTGTGAGTGGAATCTGACGGTTATTTCTACAACGAATATTAAATGCGTCGGTATAAGGTTAGACTTGAACGCGCAAAATTCTCGTCTCGTATCTATTTAAGCTTGTCTCGTGACTTCGATGTTGTCGGCGAGACAGTTGATGCGTGATTAAACGTGATTGCACGGTTTACACGACGAATTCGTGATCGCCGTTTCACGTGTAGGTACGAGCGTGGTGCATTGTACGTTGACGGTCCGTTAAACGGTATTAAAGGCGACGTATTCATCGAGCGTGTATTCGATTTTAATGAAAATTTATTATCAGATTTAACTCGAACAAAACTTTTCAAACACTCGAATCGTAAAGCTTAAATCAATTATATCGAGGGTGAACGACTTCGCTGGTGCTATTCGATGAAAAAGTTTAGACAGGTAGAGAGTGAACATTAATCTTTCGAAGTGTAAATTATTTTACTCACTTTGTGTAACTGGTTCCGCCGAGACTGCTTCGTAGTAACAATCTTCACGGTCACTTTCACAACCACCGTCGAGACACTCTGCAAGTTTGTTTAGTCCAACCAGAGATTCTTGTGCATCTTTGCATCGGTATCGATATATTAATACGAGTCTCGATCTATTGGAAACGATCGTATTGGAAAATGGAGGAACTCGATCGGTAATTTCGCGTAGAATTCAAATCGTTTCGACTACGTTCCAGGCTGACGATTTCATGTTTTCATCTGATTACCGACCACTGATCTAAGAAACGAGTAACGTAAATCATCGCATCGGCGCGTTGATCGATGTGCAATTAATCGAATGCACGACCATACGAATGTATAAACAAAGACACGAATGGCGCGTGTGTGTATGTATGCGCATGCATCCGTCGATGGAGGATATGTAGGTGAAACCTTCCGACCGCAGTGATAGCTTGGGGTGTACTGAACATGAGGAGAGGGTTGGAAAACGATGTGGAATCTAATCTAACCTTACCTAACAGAGTGGTAGTGGCGCAGCGTGCGCCCTATAGTGCGCTTGCGTGGTTGTAGCTTCTCCTAAACTTTTCCGGCAATTTAAGCAATTAGGAAGGAAAGCGGAAACGGGTTTAACTAATGTGTTCGATTCTTATTCGATAGACGTTATTTTTCTACGAAAATGTTCCAGTTGCCGAAAGAGTTTCACGTGTTAGGTGTTTTACGGAATTTGTCGATGGGACGAAGTTAAACGATCCTATAGCTAATAGATCCGATTTTTTTTTTTCTTTCGTCGTAATATCGGACAATTGGATGTTTGAGATACAGTAAGTTAAGCAAACACATAAAATGAAAATTTATCATGAAAGAGAAATTACTTCGATTTAGAATAAATTTGATATTTTATTTAAATAATTAATAAAAGTTAATTGAATATGTGGATTAATTCAAATTGAAATCTGTAGTTTGAATGTTGAGTAGGTTATTCAATAATTTTGCTATGATATCTTAATATTATTTAAGATGGTATCAACTGCATTATCCTTATCATTGGCGAGATGTAGGTTAGCCATGAATATTAAAGACATCATATCACATGTTCTGAAATACCAACCACGAATAAGATTAGAAGGTTTCTTACGCCATCTGTGATTCGTTACGACGAATATTGTACGAGTAATAGAAAAAGATTTTCGTAGAAGAAAATGTTATTTATATAGAAGAAAATAGAAGAAAAAGTTTTTTGCTGCGTTGCATACTTAATAATTAGAGAGATTTATCATATATTTTATTCGATATAAGGGCATTATCTAATATATTTTTTTTTCTGGGTTCTGGTAATTGAAAACTTCCTTACCATTATAAGGTTGTTTCCAACGTGATCGATTCAGCACAGAATAAGATTATATTGTTGTGGCTAGAATTGAAACTAAATTAAACTGCTGGGTAAGGGAGTTTTATAATTACTAGCAAAGTAGGTATACAGATAAAAACTGTAATATTGTTAATAGCATAAAGTATGGTCTTCCGTTAAATAATTAGAGATAAATTTTCTATTGTATTGTATTCTTTTACAGATCTCGAGACATCATCTTTATCTACTGTCGATTTACATCTGATATTCTCCTTATCAAGAAAGTGTATAATTGGTTTCGACGTCTTGCTGGTAAGTTTGCAAGCACTATATAATTTTCTCTATAATGTTACTATTATGTTATATTCTTTTATCAAATTTATATTTTCTTGCAATATGCTTTATTTCCAACTTACTCCATTGGTATCTTAGTCTAGGCTATATCGGTAAAGTCGGAAATGAATAATAGCGACAATAGATTCAAATCTGTACTACATCTCATCTATGATCACGTGACGGGATCACGTGATATGATCATGTGACTAAACCCGTTCCGGTTATCGAGCACGTCTATTCGCGCGCGAATCTATTATTTACGTATTTCTTGTACTTACCTCGATGGTATTGCTTTTATTTCCGTAATTACGAGTTCAGAAAGTGAACAGTGCCAAGAGTGTAGAGTGATTCAGTGATTCATATTGATATATGATCATGCAATAATTGTAAAGAAGCGTGTACGGAATTTTGTCAGCCGCAGCCATGAACCTTTCTTACCATTCGTTCAACGCATGCGTCGTCTCGAGGTATTTGCAATATTATTTCAATTTTTAATTGCCCAGTTATACGAATCGAGTGTTAATACGATTTCTGTATTGGAGAATGGCGAAATAATTCTCTTAATAGTCGTGAACGATTAAATTTATAATTCGCGATTCGATAAGTGACAGAAGCATACATTTTTTTGTCTTCTTTATTATCATACGCTTTCGTTGTTATAATTATGATAGAGTAAGATTACACAAGTACTCTACAAGTTAGTTTTGATAAGAAATAAGGGCGTAAAACGCTCGCTGTCCTTCCATTTTCATAAAAATTGGAAGACGTAGAGGTGTATCGAAATTACTATCGGTTAATCGGTAATACAACGTACGAAATATACAAAGCAGGCACCGTCCATCGGTACCTAGTTATCTACCGTCTTACGACTATATGTCTGACGTTTAAGGTTAATATTGTAATTCGAACTTGAAACGGTGAGCCCGTTCACATCGCGACTGTAGTGTCGTGTGACGCCACGAGGTCGCACTGCAAGCGGTTTAAGGCGATTTAAGTACTATTAACGATTTTGGCACTTAGATTTACCATTGCACTAATTATAAAATGGTACCGCTTATTTTCTCAATAGGGGAATGCACCTCTTTTCGTTATACGTATCCGTCACAGTAATTTTGCGACACTGTAGGCAGTTGACTTCTGTGTTTCGCGTCACGATTATTTCATTCGGTATAAACGTTCTGCGCATGTGCAAGGTTCCGTTCAAACGATTGGCGGTTCCTCTCTTATAAACGGCGACTCTGTTTGAAAATTTCTTCTCGATATTTCAACACGGTTCGATCAGAGGTATCTATACGGTGTAATTTCGATATAAAATTTATACGTATACAGTGGTCATTTACGAAAAATTCGTTTCAAAAAAAATTTCACCCGTTTCGACGAGTGTCCCGATAAGTATAAGATAATCGTAATACGCTTTAATTATAGTCGTAATAGAAAGTCAATAACTATGTCCTAAACGCTACAGAAAGTTCACTGCACTACGCTTCCACTCTACTTTGGCATATCGACCGAAAGAAAATATCGTCTAACGCTTACAAACTCTCAACGTTCGAACGTGACGATCAACTCGAAATGAACGAATGGTGCACGTAAAATTACCGCTTTTATACATTTTCCACGAAGACTCGAGTTTTCCTTAGATTCATCGCTATCCTAAATCGACGCTACGGAAATTGGCAGTATTTGGAATTTGCAATAAAATATTATCTCTCTGTTTTTCTCTTTCTCTCTCTTTCTCTCTCTTTCTCTCTCTCTCTCATTCTCTCCCGTTCGAGTAAGGCAAATTGTCAGGCTATCGTACGTGAAGTATTGCTTTAGCAAATCGCTTTCACTCGGTAAAGCGATGCAAAACTGCTAACGTTACGACGCTGTGGTACCCGTTTATAGTTCATTTCGCGTACTACATTAAACAAAGATAAAAAAAGAAAAAGAGGCAACGGAGGCACGATTGGAATCTGACAACGCGTTGTTTGACGGCCGATTTATCAAAAGAGAATCGTGATTAATTTCATACGAAATGATACATTTACGCCTCCGATTCGCCCAAAACGGTACGGACAACGTTACGTTATACGACGCGAAATGCAATATTTTTGGATGGAAAGTCAGCAAATGAACGAACGACAAGTGGAATGACGATGCGACGAGCATACAGATGTTTGTAACTTAAATATCACTGGAATAAAATTATCGCTGGAACATATACTTCGCCGGATTGTTGAGTGCTGAGCTCTGAGCAACTAGGGATAAGCTAACGAATATTCTGCGTGTGTGGAATGGCTGGCTTTTATTTTACATCATCGAACGTACAGCCGCGTAAGCATATAGATGATCAATGGAAGCACAATGTTCGAGAATCACCTGGATGATAATCGATGGTCATTAACCGCGAATATTACTCAGATCGTGAAACTGTCGGGTAAAGAGATAGCGTGCGATCATGCGATACATATAGTTGATGAACATAACAAACGTTTATTTATTGGTAACTGTTACAATGCTCTCTATATGCTTAAGCAGTACAGCGTTCTTCCGTTTGCTATTTAACAATTCTACCACGACGCAAGCATACGAGATACCGAGAAGTTCATCATGCTAAAGTTCAACCTTTCACTGTACGAAACGCGTGGAAGCAACGTCTTTCCTGGTCGACGAGGAAAACTTTAAACGAGTCCAAAGTCGGTATGAACAGTAACGTCGCAGTTGTTAGGCTTCTCCGCGGCCGCCATGTTCACCTCGACCAACGTGTCCACGCTGTTGATCGGGCAACCCTTGAGAATCTTCTGCGCGGCCAGGCTGGTGAACTGGACCTGCATGTCGCTCAGGCTCGGGTACGAGTAGAGATCGCCTCGACTCACCGTCTTCTCTAGATTTGGCTCCGAGCCTTGCGGGGCCCTTTGCTGTTTCGTGGTCTCGAGGTTCTCTATGTAGACGTTGTTGAACGAGCCACCGAAACCGTCGAACGACTTGGTAGGCGAGGGTGGATTAGACGCGATGTTGTTCTTCGAACCGGGACGGAGGAGGTTTCTGTAGCTCAGAGCATCCTTCGACAGGGACAAACTCAGCTTCCTCGAGTTGTTCATGGCATCGTTGGTGTTCTTCATGCTGGTCGGAGGATGCTCGTTGACCAAAGAGTTCTTGTCGATGTTGTTGGACGAGCCGTCTATCAGATGGGCTTGGCTGTTGTTCAAACGATTCGTCAGCTTCAGTTTGTTCGGCACTTCCTCCTCGACTTTTGGCTTGTTCTCCTTATCGGACTCGGACAGCAGGTGGCTCGGTTTCGATTCCTTGCAAGCGTACAGCGAGGACGGACGCTCGAGCTTGCTCGACTTGTTCAGCTTCTCCTCGTCGAGCTTCGACTTGAACAGCTTCTCCTCGTCTATCTTGCTCTTGTACAGTTTCTCGCCGATCAATTCTCGGTCCTGCTTCTCCTTGCAATCCATCGTGTCCTTGTCAGCCAGCTTGGTCTTCACCGTCCCGTTCTCAAACGTGATCACCGATCTCATGGGAGAGTTATTCTGTTGCACGTAGATCTTTGTGCCGGGGGAGCCCGAGATGGTGGTCGTGCTGGTCGCGTTCGAGGCCAGTGTCACGCTGTTCTGAATAGCCCGTTGCTCCTGCGACGGGCTGACTGGGGTTAAATTCGTCGACACCTGTAGAGTGATCGAGTTCTGCGCTTCCTGCAACGGTGTCAACGATCCTTGTTGCACCACTTTCAACGGGGAAGATTTCGCTGGTAGCGTAGACGTCTTCAAAGGCGACGAGGAGAGCTTGCCACTAGATATTGACTTTCCACTGGAGTGGGACGAATGGCCGGACGATGTCTTTTGCAAAACCTACGGGGGTAAAAATCGTTATTCGAATGTCAGATCGAGGATAGAAATTAGACGGAATAATAAACGAAACGGAGATTTCGTGATATAGGGTATCGGAGATAGGATGGAATATGGAATACAGATGTGGTTAGGGTAAAGACGTGGATGATCGGTGTTTACCTTGTGCTGAGGCGATCCATTTGATTTGGTACCACTGCCAGTGGAATCGTGACTCGGTCGTCTGCAGTTGGATTGTCTCGTGCTGGATCTGCCTAGCGTGGCCGTCTTGGCCGGGCTAGCGTTGGTGGTTCTAACGGATCCGGAACTTCCGCCGCTTCTGCTGGGCGACGAGTTGGCCGAGTGTTTACCGTTCTGAGTTTGATTACGACCCTGATAGGATTCCTGGTTGGTACTCGGCGGCAGGACAGAAGCTCTGGACGTACATCTGCTTAGGCTGGAGCACTTTGATCTGGGCAGCGTGGAACACGGTGATCGATGTCGTCTGGAACTCCTTGGCGTCGAGTTGGCCAATAAACTAGAGGAATCGCCGCTGGCCTGGCGTCGATGTCGCCTCGGCAGTGTGGCGGATCGCACGGAGCTCGAATCATCCCATACTTGGAAACTGGCCTGCGATTGATCTAGACCCTCCATCATCTGAAAACGTTAGTCCGTTGTTAAGCTGAGCAGCGCGCGATTTAATCTCGGCGTTCGCGTTCAATTTCCGTCTGTCGGAATGGAAAATACGTGGATGCTTCTTTCTCTCTGTCTCGTTTTTCTCCTTTTCTCTGCCCGACGAGAAAGCATCGTTCCGATTCGAAACTCACCGAAGGGCTAGCGGCTCTCGTTTGCGTGGCTACGCTGTGTAGGTGAACGACACGTGGATTGAACCACTCGGTAGGAGGATACTGAGCACTGAACGTGCCCATTAACGGTGCACCCTTCCTCCGTGTGCTGCGTCGGAACAGCCTCGAGAGAAGACCTATTTTCTCTGAAAAAATCCCGGAGAAACCTTGAGAAAAAAGGAGAGGCCGATGTTGCATTTCGTAATGAGAGATCAGGGGGATCGAGGAAGGGCTCGCCAGCTAAGGGTGACTAAGAAGCTTCGTTTTTCTTGGATGTTCAGCTGTGATCGCGGATGTATAGGAAAAATTGGAGGATCGCGAAGAATCTTCCACCTAGGATTTTCGTATCGAGAGACAGATGGATGAGATGCAGAGAAAGCATGGTCTTAAATAATCCATACGTCGAGGATAAAGATGTACAGCGTCGGAACGAAAGTCTCGTTAACCGAAAGTTGTAACGCCGGGTGTTCATCGTCGGCTACGATAAGCGTTTCTCGTTTCTTATCTCCGCGTTCGACCAGTTCTTTTCGCGTGTACCGCGAGTCCGATTATGCGGTTTCGATTCGAGAACGGCGAATCCAGTGGAAACGTCTATCCGAAAGAAAAGTGGCTTTTACGAATGAGCGACGCGTACGAGACGCGAAACGGGACGCTTTCTTTTTACGAAAGATCGCGATCCAGATCCGAGCAACAGCCTTAAATGGAAAGCTAACACGTCCCGATTAAGCGATCACCCATCACCAAAACAATCCCTTCCCCGACTCGACTCACTGGTTGGGCTATGGGGCGCGCTGTCGGTGCTCGCGTATTCCGCGCTCGACGAAGTGTCGCTTCTTTCTGGCCTTCGTGGCAGAGACCGCGAACTTCCGCTTCTGTGTAAGCGTCTGGCGGATCCCCAAAGTCGCAGAGAATGTCGCCTCTCGAGGCGACCCGGCATCGATCGACATCTTGCGAACAGAACCTTGTCGTTGGGGTTACCTGCAAACGTGAAAATATATATATACTCTCCGTACCTTCCTGTAGACAATACGAAAGATTCGTAATTTCCAACGCGAAGGATTCGTAACTTCCAACGCGAAAGATTTGCCATTTTCAATGCGAAAGATTTGCCATTTCCAATGCGAAAGATTTGCCATTTCCAACGCGAAAGATTTGCCATTTTCAACGCGAAAGATTTGCCATTTACCAATGCGAAAGATTTGCCATTTTCAACGCGAAAGATTTGCCATTTCCAACGCGAAAGATTTGCCATTTCCAATGCGAAAGATTTGCCATTTCCAATGCGAAAGATTTGCCATTTCCAATGCGAAAGATTTGCCATTTCCAATGCGAAAGATTTGCCATTTCCAATGCGAAAGATTTGCCATTTCCAACGCGAAAGATCCGTAACTTCCAACGTGAAAGATTCGTAATTTACAACGCGAAAAATTTGTAACTTCCAACGCGAAAAATTCCTAACTTCCAACGCGAAAGATCCGTAACTTCCAACGCGAAAGATTTGCCATTTTTAACGCGAAAGATTTGCCATTTCCAACGCGAAAGTAACTTCCAACGCGAAAGATCCGTAACTTCCAACGTGAAAGATTTGCCATTTTTAACGCGAAAGATTTGCCATTTTTAACGCGAAAGATTTGCCATTTTCAACGCAAAAGATTTGCCATTTCCAACGCGAAAGATTTGCCATTTTCAGCTCGAAAGATTTGCTATTTCCGACGCGAAAAATTTACCATTTCCAACGTGAAAGATTCGTAATTTACAATGCGAAAGATTTGTAACTTCCAACGCAAAAAATTCGTAACTTCCAACGCGAAAGATTCGTAACTTCCAACGCGAAAGATTCGTAACTTCCAACGCGAAAGATTTGCCATTTTTAACGCGAAAGATTTGCCATTTCCAACGCGAAGAATTCGCAATTTCCAATGCGAGAGATTCACCATTTGCAACGCGAAAGATTCGCAATTTCCAACGCGAAAGATTTGCCATTTCCAACGCGAAAAATTTACCATTTCCAACGCGAAAAATTTACCATTTCCAACGCGAAAGATTCGTAACTTCCAACGCGCAAAATTTGCTATTTTCAACGCGAAAGATTCGCCATTTCCAACGCGAAAGATTTGCCATTTTCAACGTGAAAGACTCGCCATTTCCAACGCGAAAGATTCGCCATTTCCAACGCGAAAGATTTGCCATTTTCAACGCGGAAGATTCGTAACTTCCAACGCGAAAGATTCGCAACTTCCAACGCGCAAAATTTGCTATTTTCAACGCGAAAGATTCGCCATTTCCAACGCAAACGATTCTCCATTTCCAACGCGAAAGATTCGCCATTTCCAACGCGAAAGATTTGCCATTTTCAGCGTGAAAGACTTGCCATTTCCAACGCGAAAAATTTACCATTTTCAACGCGGAAGATTCGTAACTTCCAACGCGAAAGATTCGCAACTTCCAACGCGCAAAATTTGCTATTTTCAACGCGAAAGATTCGCGACGATCCCGAATATCTTTGTCGCTATCCCAAAAATGATCGCGAGGATGTTACAAACGAAAGGAAGAAGTAGGACGATAGGTCTAAGGAGATTCGAGTGCCGGCGATCGTCGGAGTCTTAATTCTCGATACAACGAACCGCGAGTCTCGAATCGCGTTCTCAAAAAGTGGAACACCCTCGTCCCTGATTTTCATCGTGGTACATAGCCAGAGGCGGTGGCGACGACCGACTGTGGGTTAGCAGCGTGAGAATCACTCGAGAAACGAGTCGGAGAAAAGTAGGAAGATTATATACGTGGCCCCCCACGTGATCCCGACAGCGTGTGTAACGGTAGACAATGTCGTGACCAATAGCTAATATATCGGCTGTGCTAAACGCTTTCCAGGGATCGCCGAGTTGGCACGGACACTGTTCCCTGCTATGTGTACCGACGCTCGCGTGTACGTCCTCCATACACGTGCTGATGTATGTAACAGGCGAAACATGCAAGGTGCCGAAGGTGTTTCCGTGTCAATGCGCCAGAAAATTCCAGTTTGCGCGGCTCCGAAACTTTGACCGACCACGACACCGCGAGCTGCAACTACAGCCACGACGACGGCCATCGGCAGGACGCCGAAGCGCGAGCGTGCTTTCAGCTTGGCGAACGCGATCGCATGCAAGGATGCACGGTGTGCACCATAGCGGTGGCGTTCAATGGCGCGGGTAACAATGTACCATCGTTGCACGCAACGTTCGCCGGCATTGCCGGATGACCATCGAGGGACGCTGATAGGGCAGAGCAATATATGGAAACGGTATTATCGTACAATGCTGAAATCGCGTTGCCCATAGCGGGCACACGCGGGATACCCGATAAAGAAAATGTCGACTTTTCTCTACACGGGCCCCGGTGATACGCGTTTCCATTTGAATTTCTAATTTTAAAGCTCGCGCGGGCATAAATTCGCGGCCGAGACGACAGCCACTCTAAATACCGAGATAAGGGTGGCGCAATTTAAATCGAATCGCGACAATTTTTCGATTCGACCCGCCGCAGGAAATGCCAAGGACGACAACAACATAAACGCACTGGACTCGTCCATCGAGTTTAGAGAAAAAGGTCTCCCGGTGCAGGCACAGCCAGCGAACGCTCCTCTTGGACACTCGCAACGATTCCCGAACACGTGCCGAACGGGTTTGCCCGGATCGACCAGTCTAACCGACTCCCATTGCGAGTTCCTTCGCGGCTCGAGCTCCTTCCAGGACTTTGCTTCCCGTCCCGTTCTTTTGCGCGAAAACGCGTAAGAGCTAGAAAGTAACTCCTCGTTTCGTTACGTGTCGCACCTATCCCTCGTCACGCTCCACTCCCGCACTTGGAAACACCTTTCGGAGCCATTTCGCGGCACGATTTGTCCCGGGATAAGCTCCAACCGAGCAACATCCTTCCCTTCGTCGAAGTTTGCCCGATAGATGGGGGGTAGAAGAAAATTTGGGCTCGTCAGACACGGGATTTCTTACCTCCGCAAATAACGTCTGCCAGATTCGTCTGAACAGCTTGATGCGTCACGTCGCCGTCCCTCAGGGTTAGCATCTCGCCGTGCACGAGCGCCATGGCCTCGTCGTTGGACATGAGCATGCTACCCTGACCTCTGGATCCGCTCACCTCTCTTGAACATCTCCTGGAGTTGCTGGAGTCGCGCCTGAGTCTTCTGGTCTCGGGCGTGACGACAAAGTAACCCTGTGACGTGTGATAGATCTTTCGTTCCTGCATGAGCTTCGCGAGGGCGTCGTAAACGAGTTCGCGGCTAGGTCTCTGCATGGCCGGAAATGCGTTCCTGAGAGCGGATCTGAGCGTGTCCAGCGTGGCAGCTTGCCTCTGAGAAGTTAACTCCAAAATGGCCCAACAAAGAGCTTCCGGTAGCGGCGTGAATTGTCCTTGGGCAACGGGGGCAACCAGGCAATCCTCGATGTCGCCTGTAACAGGAAGGAAAATTCCAATTAGACGTCCGGTCTCGTTGCACGCGCGGCCAAATGAATTCTATCGACGATTGAAATTACCGCGAAATTGATATAATCGTCGATCGTTATATTTTTCCTTTCTTTCTTCTACGAACCAGTCGGATAGTTACACGCTGTCGCGAATTCCTCGCTAAGCTTAACTCGCAGTTGACGCCTACCGAAAGGGATCAAGGCTGATTCTAACGCGAAACAACCGGTGGATGTAAAGCTTCTTAGAAGCACCAGTGATAAGATCGGACGTTACGAGACGTGCCTATAGGAACTTTAAAGTTCTCGCGTTCATTAAAATTCTCCGTGTATATTCGCTCGACAGAATGAAACCGTAATAGCCGAGTTGCTTGCCAGGAACTAGCGACATTCAGGCAACCGCCTTTCTAGCTTCAGCCGAGGCGGTTCGGGTTTCCATGCGCGTACCGGCTACAAACGGAGTATTTCATTAACGAACACATGTAACCTTCCGACTATCTAACGTAATATTTAAGACATTCACTCGAAAGGCTCGGATCGCGTTTCCCTTTTCGCGAAAAATACCGGGTGTCCTAAGAATCGCGACAAAAACGGTCGCACGCGATTCTACGTCCAAAAATACGTCGAAAAGAAAGAGCGACATTTTTTCCATCGAGCCTTCGTTTTCGGGGAAATCGACGCGATGAATCTCAGAGTGGGCACGCGCTAGACGCACACCCGACGGATCTTCAGATAAATTTTTCTCGAAAACGGAACTTCATACGCAAAAACGTTACTCTTCCTTTTCTACTCATTTTTACACGTAGAATCACTATCCACTCGCTCGAGTCGCGATTTTTCGCGTACTCGGCATATATCGAGGTTCGTTGCTCTTCGAAAAAATGCAGCTCCGTGGTATTTAAATCGATCTCCCGATTAATTCGCGATTGCGCGCGAGGCTCATCTCGGATGGAGATGCATCGTGGAAAAAGCGGCATTACACAGGGTGCATTTCAATTTTAAATCTCGTTTGATCCAGGACAGTTTCCGATATCATCCTGGTTCAAAAGAACGTCGGGCCCTTTGCGCGCCGGACTGTTTCGCGTAATATCGAGATCGCGGAAACGTATTCACGGGTCTTTGGAGAACATGTCGATTTTCATTTCCGACGAACACGGTCGGTCGTATTAAGTTCGTGACAAGTACATCGCGGCGAATCCGCGGCGCATTCGCATGCGAGCGATGCGCGCTTGTAAATCCACTTACGGAATATTCCCGCGGATCTGTCGTGCATAGAATGGCGCGATGCGCGCGTAGGTATGCCCGCGTGAAAGCGGAAAATTTAAACGACCAGGCGGCTCGTATAGTTCGTAAATCGTGCTTTATTGGTATCGATTCGGTCATTCGCGCGAATCACTCGTAACCGTAGATTTATCGACGCTATTATTAATATACGTTTATTAAACGCTTAACGAGGTAATATAACGTTACGTGAACGTATCTCAACCTTTGATGCGAAAAGAGAGAGAGAGAGAGAGTGAGAGAGGGAGAAAGATTTTTGTTGGAGGAGGCAAGGTGGGCACGAATACATATACACGTATTACCGATAAATACTAGGCACTTTCCCATTCGTGACAAATGTCTTCTATTTATAATATCATAGACAGTGTAACGCGTGTAATTTCTAACTCAGCCGCGAGAGGGATGACAAACGTGACTGGCGGGTAGTTTGAATTTTCGCGAGACGAAACGGTTAGGTCACTGGATGCATTCCCACGTGCAAGAGAGTCGTATAAAGACGGTCAATTTCTAGACCAGGAGCAGAGAAAACTGGTATCCCGGAGTAGATCTGCTTCGGGCTAACAATACCTAATTAGCGTTTTAAACGTCAGTCAAACAGCGCACCATAAACGCGGTACAGGCAGGGTAATTAAGGCTGGATGGAAACTGAAAATTTTCAAAGCCTTAGACGGGGATAGAGGCGGAGCGAGGTTCGCGGCAGGATCGAAGTCTTTGTTCTTCCGGTCACGTTTTAAGGTGACTTTCCAACCCCCTGGGGCCCTCCTGGTCGCGTACATTTTGGTCCACGCCCACGAAAAGACTATGGATTATTCTAAGCCCGCGACTTCGAAGGAACTCCGAAATTCCTCTTGTATCCGCGCACGCTCGTGCGGGGAATATTCAATGCTGTCAGGAGCACAATGTGTAGCAAACAGCTTGTCATCGGAGAGGCCGTGTTGCAATCTACGAGCAACCGTATCGTATCTTCGCACCCGTATACCTCTCTTTTCTCATCCGGGGCACGTACCTGGATCGTCGCATTTGTCTCTCCTATTTCCTCCTATCCTCCGATTTTTCTCAGGGAACCTTTAATTCGACTTGGTCTACGTTACATTTGACAGCGATCACTTTTAACACTAGATTTACGAAACTCATGAATTATACGATGGTAACAGATTTAGTTAACTCATATTAAGACTGTTAATATTGTAGAAACTGTGGTAAGTGGTAAATAACAGAACTATTTATTAATTAATAATAATAACATAGTAGATTAACAATGTGTGATGACGATTAAGCATACGAATCTGTATCAATTACAACTTAAAACTACAACTCAACTCAACAACACAATACAACTCAGCCAGTTACAACTAATGGCTCACAACTAAAATACAACTAAACAACTAACAACTAATAACCCCTCTCTACACAACGCTGTTCTGCTCAGAAGTCCTAAGACCTAAGAAGTCCTAAGACTTTGTCCTAAGACTGTCCCCAAGACTGCTGTCTATTATCCTGCGATACTACAATATTGTAATTGTTTTTAAATTAAACTAATCGTTGAAGAAAGAAAAGACACGTGGTTGCCTTTACCTGTAGATTTGACAGGTGTCAATAGAAATAGGTATATAGATAGCGTTCGTAAAACTAGCGTTAACGACGCTTTGGTGTAATTAGACAGAATGGAGCTGAGTAAATCCGAATAAGGTCTGCTCTGCAGATGAAGTCCAGTTGGGCCCTAGCAAAATTATCCGTTGTTTAGCTCGAAATATCGCAAATAGTCCGACTATATTAGTCGAGAGATTGAAAAACAGGTATCATCAGCGGGAGATAACAGTGTTCGGTTGACATACGTCTCTAATCCTTGGGATATATATTTTTGAAACGGTACCGAAGTAATTTGCTGCTAAATCCTGTCAATAGCTGTTCGATTCTCAACGGTGATTATATTTTATCGGAATATCGTGGAATCGCGACACGACTTCGCATGAAACCTGCTGCATCTCGACTCGTTATCTTGTTACACTGATAGATCGTCGAACGGAACAGATGGTACGCGAATTCGCTTGTATGAAAGCTAACTATCGTTTCTATACACCGCACCGTAGACCCCGTGACACAATAAAAGCGAGTCGAATATACTTTCATTCGTTCACCCTCGTCTCGAGCCACGGTGGACCTTCGAAATGCATTTTAATATATTTCGCCCCATCCCCGAGCGCCATATGCCAATTTCGAGGGGTGGCCCGGGCTTCCGCGCGCGATATTGCGCTGACCCTTGACAGCCATCGATCGCTCCGAGATTGAAAAATATCCGGTAAATCTCGCGCAGAAAAAAATTCCACGAGTATCCTAGTATCGTTATTTAAAAAGACTCGCGTACGTTGCAGTCAAAATCCGAGATCGCTCGAAACTAGTTTTATCTCGGACCTTTCGTCGATACCGGTTCCGACTAGTTAATTCTGGAATTAATTCGACGCTTTTAACCGAAACTCGTTTTCACTGAACAAAGTGTCACGCTCGTTGGGGAAAGAATTACACAGCGAAGAGAAGTTTTTGTACAAAAGAGAGAAATCTTCTTAATAATCTTCGTAATGTCAAATTGCATTAGGATATGACATGTCATGACATGTGAAACATGGAATAGGTTCCTCCTCAGTGATTCCCGCGAGTCAGAAATATTAATTTGAAATATTTAACCCTTTACACTCGACGACTTTTTCGTTACAGAGAAATAGTAATTCGAAGACTCTCTGTCGTAGAGTGGACGATATTTTTAAAATGGTAAATGAGAAATCATATGCAAATTAAGACAGAATTATTTTTCTTCGACATTCCACACATCGTTAGGTAATTTTAAATTTGATATATTAATTAACGTCGATCTTTAGAACGTAATTAAATAATGACTGAGAGTCACCTCTCGAATGCAAAGGGTTAATTAAATTAATTCGGTCAATTTCCGAATTACCTGGCCAAAACTAGCACGAATAGATCTTGCTTTTCCTAACGATATTTCTCGATTTAACCGAGCAATCGCGCAATCATCCTAAGCTGCTGCGCTCTTTCTACAGATTTAAAACACACTCGGTATCCTCGTTCCGTGAATGAAGGAGACGTCATCCAACATCTGTCGCGTGAAATCGCGCGGCGTGCAATTTTCCGAAGGTCGTGCTCTTCCTCCTTTTTCCTTTCATACGAATTTTTGTTTAAGCTGGTTAAATGCTCCGCGTAACAATGAATCTACCCTCTGGAACAGGTCGAGATCACGGATCACTGCCATTTCCGCGCACCGTTCGATGACGCTCACTGTTCTAGTCCCCTAGTTGCTTTGAATCCTCGTTTGCGGGCCGGCAGGAAGGAACAGAGCTGTAATTACGTGTACGCCAGAAAACGCCTACCTGGCTACACTCTTGTTAAAGGGTTGTCGTAAATAGGCCGGACAACCTTCGTATGGGAATTACCGGCGAGATCTCGATGTACTTCTTGCGCTACCGCGAGTTTTCTCGTTTCTTCATTAACGAGCAGCTGTCCGGTGGTATCCTCTCTTCGGACCGTTCGCGAGAAACCAGTTTTGCATTCGAGAGTCGTCTTTCCTACGATTCTAACGTATCGGATAATATTAGATTTTCAATTTCTACCAACGTCAGCGTTCCACACGACGCAGTGGCAATGGTGGCCGCCGCGCGCCATCGTGAAATCGCTCTTCTGCTTCTTCAGCACGC